AGTTGTAAATATGTGTAGACCAACGAAGATTGCTGTCGATGGTGACAACCAGGTACTTCACTGAGGTCATTCTAGATACAGGTTCATCGTTAAGAATGAACATACGTTCTTTGCTTCAGGACAGGTTCTTTATTCGTAGAGTAGCTACCACCGGCAGTCTCAGCTCTAGGTGTTGTTGTGCCGTTGAAATCTTAACGTTTTGCCTTTTTTATTTGCTGTCTAGCCGATCTCAACTCATGCTCTAATTCAGAAACCCGGAATATAAACATATCGATATCCTTAACATCTGAACCTACATAAGAAACAGCACTGATAGGACTTGCATACCTAACATTTTCTAAAGAATCAAAATGAACCACAGCCCCCCCCCGCCAGAGAATTGCCGGGTTAATTTCTGTTGGGTTCCAGTTCCCTTGGTTCCTCGTCTGGGCATCTTCGAAATAGTTTTCTCGTTTGATTCCAATTAGAGTACTGTACGTCAACCAAATCGCAAAAGAGTGGCGCGTAGGCAAAATCCATTGGAATCGTAAAACAGTTCAGTTGAGTTCAGTTGAGTTCAGTTCCAGGATGTTGACGGCGGTCTGCCAGTTTGTCCAGTTTCTTACAGCGGTGGGCTCCAGGGATCCCCCGATGCTGCGACAGGTGGAAGAGGGAGATGACTCTTCTTCAATTTTGCGATAAAAACTTCCGGAGAGTTGGGTGTTGACCTCCCTCTCTCGCGCCACATTCCGGTCATGCCTAATCGATCACGGCAGCAGCCCCTGACACCGGCATCAACCAAGTTACAAACCCGGCCGAAAGGGATGGGGAGTTCTAGTGGTAAGTGATCGGATAATGGTTAAGGCATGGGGATATGTTATGGAAAGAATAGAAGGTAGTAGTAATGGCTAAAGACTGAGAGAGTATGTGAGAGAAGGTCGGGGAGAAGGAGGGAGTGGAGCTTCCGGACAATCACGTTGGTTAGGCGGCTCCTTAGGTGAAAAGACCTTGCCATACGGCGTCCATGCGGGTCTTGAAGCTCTTCACCGAACTAGAATTGACTAATTCATTAGGTAGTCTGTTTCGGTCGTACACCACCCTTATGGCAAACAATTGCTGCCCTATGCGGATGGAAACCCTGACCTTAGCTAACTTAAGGTCATTACCCCTTAACATTGGGTTCTCGCTGGGAGGCAGTAGTGGTCTCCCTTCTTCCCCAATGTCATCTAAACCCTTTAGGAGTTTGAATGCCTCAATCAGGTCTCCCCTTCTTCTTCTTGCCAGAGAGAAGAGCTCGAGCCTCTCCAGCCTGTCCTCATATCTAAGGTTCCGTATTCCTGGGAACCATCTGTGAAGTACCGCTGCGTCTTCTCGAGTACTTTTTTCCACAGCTAGATATGGGCTCCAGGCCTTGACACAGTACTCGAGATGAGGGCGCACAAAGGCCTTGTACAGTGGTAGTACAACCTCCGGCCTTCTGGAGCTCACTGCTCTCTTCAGTTAATTGAGAGCTCCTAGTACCTTTCATGCCGCTTGTCGGCACTGTGCACTTGGTTTGAAATCAGCCTGGATATTAATACCAAGATCCTTGGTCTCCCTCACTACATCCAGTTCACCCCCAGTGCCTGGTGGGGCGAGACGTCTACCCTACTCTTCGTCCTGCTGAGCGATGAGTCTCTGGCATTTGCCTAAATTTAGCGGCAAACCCCACAGCACAGACCATTTGTAGATCTTGCTGAGATCACTCTGCATAGTCTCGGAGTTAGGGGTGCCTATCAGCTTTACGTCATCAGTGTAGAGGAGACATGGGTTCTCTAAGCCCTCCACTAAAGCACTGATGTACAATAGGAACAGTAGCGGACCCAGAACCGACCCCTGTGGGACTCCACTACGCAGTTCTCCCTTGTGGGATACTTCCCCCTCTATATTAACCTGGAAGCTCCGACCCTTTAGACATTTACATATCCACCGTTCCACCTTGGGAGTCAGCCCAAGGCGCCGACGCTTCATCATCATCAACCTGTGGTTGACAGAGTCAAAGGATTTTTAGAAGTCTAGATAGCTCCACCATGGTGGAGCACCACTGCGTCTGGCCTTCTTGAGTGGTGCTGCTTGGTACGTGAGTGCCAATATGTTGTTCTTAATTCGACACCCCTCTCGTTCAATATATTGCTCTCCCTCTTCTACCATCCAGCTGCACTGACGACCAAAAAACCAAAACAAAACATGATTGATTCGTAGTGTTCTACGGTAATGAATTAGGAAAATCATAACAACCTTCCCCATCCATCGATAACTGGTAATATCCCAGATCCGCGGACCATTAGGGCTAGCCTACAACCCGTGAAATACTTCAAGACTTCAAGAAACTGAACGTACCGCATTCGAGGAAGTTTCTGTTCGTAGCTCCACTATTGAAAAACACGGTGTTTATGAGAGTGAAAGAATGCACAACATATACCCAGAGAATATAATACTTATTACCTGCATGCAAACTGAAAACGTTTTGTTTGTTCGTACCCAGTGAACTCAGCACGCTCCATTTCCGTGAGGTTGCGATGACCGCGCGTATGTTGCGCTCCCACTGTGCTTTTTAATCACGGCCGGGATGGATCAGTATTCCGTGGAAGTGAAGAGCAGGTTCTCTTTGTTCTTGGATGACTCCTTGAATAACGAGGACCCAGACCTGTTGCTTTCGAAACTTCAGAGTAAGCGCACCGAGAAGAGCAAAAAAGACAAACAACACACTGTCCATGCGCCTGAGCCAGAAAAATTAGAGCCGGCTCCTAAGGAGGAACCAAAACCGGAAGCACAGACGAAAGGTAATTTATCCTGAGTGGTTTATTTGGTGTAGCAAAGGTTGTTCGTGTACCAAGGCAGCCAAAATCATCTTCAGAGGTTGTTGAGGGCAATCATGTCGACGCGGTTCCCAGAGAATTGCCAGAGGCACATCCGGCACCACAAATCCAAGGGCGCGGTGGCCCTCGAGGCTATAGCCGCGGATTCCGGGGTGGCCGCGGGTTTGGTCCCCGGCCAAATCCACCAGAATGGTCTCAAGAGCCCCAAGGCGATCTGAACGTTGAGTAAGTAATTTCGGTTCTTTCATGCGAAACTCTAACAGGCCAAGTGGCAACAGGGATGTTCCGTATGAGCCACGGGGACGCGGGAGGGGTCGTGGGTTCGGAAGAGGTCGAGGTCGAGGATCGGCCTACACGGATTACCGAGAATTTGACCGGGGGTAAGTTCGTACTTTTTTCTATGATGAATTGTTATCCCTGTCCTATGTGCTGCGGACAACATTTTTCTGAAGATTCGTTTTATTACATAGCGACCATGAATTGATATCGTATTTGTGTTTCACTTTCAGGGGCATGAGACCGCGTGGTCGCGGTGGTTACTCTGGTGGTCCTCGTGGTGCACCGGAAGAAGAGGCCAACACCCCAATTGCTGAGGGTGGTGACGGTGCGCCGCCAGAAGTTGAGATGACTGAGACTCCAGTAGAGACCGAAGAAAATGGTGTCGATGCGGAGGCCCAGGAAGCCGTTGAAGAAGAGCCGAAGAGTTATACACTTGAGGAATATAAAGCAATGAAGTCGTCTGCCAAGCCGGCTGTTACTCTGAGCACTAAAGGAGCACGCAAGGCCAATGATGGCAAAGACGTTTTTGCCAACATGGTTGCGCATCGCAAGCTGAATGAAGTTTCAGACGAAGAAGTTGAAGAAGTCGAAAAGGAACCTGAGGTAAGCGTTGCTCTCGTAATCTTACTTGTTGTTTAGGAACCTCAACCGTTCGATATTGACGTATCGTTCACTGACCGTTTTGGGGAACGCGGTAGAGGCTCCCGTGGATTCAATAATCGTGGTTTTGATCGTGGTCGTGGAACAAACTTCCGCGGTCGTCCACGTGGTGGGCGAGGTGCGTTTAGAGGCGAAAGTCGTGGGAGAGGTTTTGGTCGAGGGATGCCAGCCGAACATCACGCCCCACCACCAGCCATCTACAGCGATCAAGATTTTCCATCCTTGAAGTAACCAGCTTCTTGACGTTGGACGGTTGATCGCTCAGTTTCTTTGCCCGGCCATGGTGGGCTTTTGCTGAAAGGCTGTTAGTTTAGCCTTATTGCATATGCATCAACCCTGGACCCCCAAATCACCGGCTATGTAGTCCGATTCCCACCGGCGCACTTGTCTGCATGTCAGATTTGTATTTAAGCAGGCATGTTTCGGTGTCGGATTACTTAGCGTTGTACATGAATAAACCGTTTGCCGAGGTCTCCAAGCATTCTCCTGTTTGTCCGGTTGGTTAATTTTTGATTATATTCTTCAACTACTTCATGGTTGGTCACAATGTATTCCTGTTGATTTATTCCGATATCTGAGTCGTGGTTACCAACCTGCCAGTTCAGCTGAGCTTTTCAATCCCAACGTCTAGTGAGTCTACTTAGGCTTGTGTTCTATTTGATCGTGAGTGACTGTGATTCTAACGTTCGGCAGGTAGTACTGGCAGTTTTTCAGTCACTTGTGTGATCTCGTGTGACCATGTGAGTACTTTATCTCGAATCGTATTGAGAAATGCACATGATAAGCGTTACAAGTGTTTTAATGGCCAATCGGGAAGTTACATTTACGGCGTGTTTAGAAGAGATGACGGACTTCCGATATTTTTCTCAGATCAATTGTTCGGTGCGTCGGTGTCAATGATCAGTAAGTTGTGTATTGCACTGCTCCGAACTCTTGGCTTTCCCGTAAATGTTTCGGTTCACCAATAAAAGTTACTAGAGTGGTTATTTGGCGTTCTGTGCTCGGTTCAGCGGTGTTGCACCGACCCGCGAGACAGTTGGGATTCGGTCGTACTAGTCGAAGGAGGAGGAACAAGTCTGAGGGGACATTTAAAATGAACGGCGCAGTAGTGGGTTGACGTTCGGGCTCGCTTTGCAAAAGGGGTCCGAATGCCGGTGTGATGATTCGTTTGTAAATCCGAACCTTCCAATCTTAACCTTGGTTTTAGATACAATAATTTCCAGAAAGTTAGCTAAATATCAGTTAGAACCCATCCGGATTTGCTTAATACCACAGTGATCTATGACTGCGCGTGTGATTTCGGTTAGTACGTGACACTCATCGCACGGACGAGCTTTGGACGACAAGACAGACCTCGGCAGTCGTTGATGAGCGGGATTCACTATTCTGACAGGATGTTCAAAGCAGGATCTCCGTGCCTGGTGCTGTTAATCGATTTCGTCCCGCAGTAGTTGCGTTGTATTTTCCTTGTTGCCGTGCGATCTGATGTTTGCTTCGGCTGATGTACATAGGTCGTAGCTGGGTGTCAGATGATTGTCGCTTTAGGTCGATCCGATTGTTCGGTCACATCTCAGTAAGGCTTCTTGATTTCATTGAGCTTGCTACCAGAACGAAAATCGTTGATGCATGTGCGTGTTTCCTAGGCGACGCTATGACCTTCTTGAAGTTAGAAATGGCTGCACTGGAGTACGCAGACGACGTGATCGTCGCGCCGATGCGATATGTGGATGTGTTCAGTAAGTGCTCTACGAGGGGTTTATGATTTATCCGAAGGAAATATTTAACCATTCCGTGATGAGATGAGAAATATTGCCTAATCGGGAAGCCCTACTCAAATCAGTCTCCGAGTTACACCCGTAACTACCGTGCGGCAATTGAGAGACTGACGCCCATCGTGAACTTTGCAACTGCTCACTGAAGCCTTGTGGAACATAATGGATTTGGTAAGGGATCGGATTGCATCCTGAGAAGTCGGATGGCGGTGAGTGTCTTTCTGTTGTGTAATCACATTCTGTCGATTCCCTCAAGAAAGGCTTTTCCCGTCCCAGGAACTAACCGAAATATGTTAAACTCACTATTCTATCCCGGAGTCCGTCAAGTTGAAAGTCTGGGTGCCGTCGCGACATCCGGTTGTCTGAGGGGTCGAGTGTCTTGCGCAGCAGTTGGGTCAGTTCTGCTATACGATGCGGGAACTTCGCCAACAAGAAAGCAGGACAAAGACAGACTGTCAGTGTTCGAGCACCGCTGTCTACGTCGCATTCCACGAGTCTGGTGGGGTAACCGGACGAGCGATACTGAGATTAGGCATCGAGTTTTAGGTGATCGCGGTCGTCCACAGGAGCGAGTGGCAACTTCGTCGTCGATGCTCGCCGAGGTAAGTAGTGGGTAGAAGAAAAGCAAGGGTGGCCAAGCTAAGACCTGGCACGAGGGCATTAAAATCCTGACCAGAAGACTAGGACACATTGGACCCGTTAGTTTCCTTGGATCATGGTCACCGATGTTTAGAGACATTGAGCGATGTGGCTGGGTGTCGTAAACAGTGGTGTTCTCGCATCTTCTCAATTTCCTTGCTAACTTAGACCAATGAGCTTCTCCATTTTCTGTTCGACTCTACCTTCAACTTTCCCTTCTATTATGCATCCAAATGGGACACCAAAAGACAGCAACCATAGCTAGTGCGCGAAAGTGCATGGTAATGGTTGTTCAAATCGAACTGAACTGAACTGTGTACCAGTCCACTCAGCTGGAACTACTGGTGCTTTTCATTTCAGGTTGTTCACACGTCAAGGATAGTGCGTTATCGTACACCTCAGTGTGGCAACATCGTCATCGTACAGCGAACTTCACTGATTGTTACCTAACTCGTAATGCACACAAGGTAAAATGTGTACGGAGAAGGAGATTGGTCTTAACCTTGGTGACGGTAAAAGAAGCGAACCTCTGTAGGCAACGCACAATCCAACTAGGCGTACACCATATTTCAAGTATTCTGGTATGTGAGAACGAGATCGCCACTAGTGTCAGTTTGCTGTTACAACCCTCAGCGGCCCCAACCGCCCGGTAACGGAGTCTTTTTGGACCTTATCCTGGAAGACAAGAGATATCTACTCTACCTAATCGCGCCGTGCATTTCTTCATGCCTCGTCTCCACGTCATCTGCTGGCCTCCACGTGGCTTTCTCCAATCTGCTCCGGCTTCTGCAACTAAGGCGTGGTGCGGTAGGTGACCGTTAGATACACGCAAAACGCGAGCTAAACAACGGAACTGAATTAAGCTGAATTCGATGCGATGGCAAGCTCTTGTTGAATGCGCTCCCAGACACCCGACGACTTGTATCCATCCAACGTGGACCATGCTATGTAAGCATCAGTTGTCAAACCCTCATGCGATGGATGTTTTGTGTCCGCAAATCCAAGGTCTAACAACTGTAAGACGGATCTAATCGTTCAGTGGCACAGTATACGCGACTATTTAACTTCGGTGTAAATTAACGTCATCGCCAATCGTACACTAAACCTACAGTAGCGTGCTGTCCATATTTTTTGCTCTTATCGGTGCGCTTACTCTGAAGTTTCGAAAGCAACAGGTCTGGGTCCTCGTTATTCAAGGAGTCATCCAAGAACAAAGAGAACCTGCTCTTCACTTCCACGGAATACTGATCCATCCCGGCCGTGATTAAAAAGCACAGTGGGAGCGCAACATACGCGCGGTCATCGCAACCTCACGGAAATGGAGCGTGCTGAGTGTATTGATTGATCTTTGAAAATCCTTCCTGTATTGTTCAACTATTCTTCCTTGGCTGCACATTTCGTCGATTTCACGTTTCATTCA